AAGAATGAAAATAAAACAACAAAGTTTAGGATTTAGGGCCGGAACAAGAGACCATAAGAAAATAAAGAAAAATATAAGAAATCATGCCGACTGTGGCCCGTCTACAGTGGCCCTTAAAGTGTAAAGAACTATGGAATAAAGTCCAAATTAGTAGTACAGTTTAATTAGTAGTACAGTTTAATTAGTAGTACAGTTTAATTAGTAGTACAGTTTAATTATGACCATTATTCATTAGAACTGTCTACTGTGATCCAGAGATTTAGTCGACATAGTTTATGTTAGTCAACACACTGTCGCCTGGCGAGATATCACCTATGGCACCTAGTTTAGGGTGTGACAATTAGGCTTTGTTTTGATTTTAACAAAATTGCCTGGGGTAGGGCTCCTTGCATGTGCTCTGGGACTAGTAATTATAAATACAATATCAAATATTCATCCGTCCTGATACAACACACTGCAATTATATGCAATTTTTTATTTCAAATATTTAATTGCAAATACTTTCTAAAATCTGTGAACTATGGAATTTTCGCAAAAAGAAATTATATTAGGTTTTTAGAAGGTGATACACTATGTGCGTCCTCATTATCTTATTTATTTATTTCTTTGCTACCAAACAATATTTCGTCCACTACTTGCGTTCTCACTGTGCGTTTAAACTGTGCGTTTACACTGTGCGTTTACACTGTGCATTTACACTGTGCGTTTACACTGTACGTTTACACTGTGCGTTTACACTGTGCGTTTAAACTGTGCGTTTACACAGTGCGTTTACACTGTGAGACGCTGTGCGTTTATACTGTGCGTTTACACTGTGCACTTACACTGTGCGTTTACACTGTACGTTCATTGAGAACACTTATCCTAGTCTGCTAGTCTGCTAGTATTTTTTTTCGTTCACAATAACCTAGAGACAGAAGGCCATAGGAGTTACGCGCATTCTCTTGAGGCAGAAGGCCAAAGGAGTTACACGCATTCTCTCTCTCTTCCTGTAATTCAACACGGCATGCGCGTAGCTCCTTTGAGCTTCTGCCTCAGGATATTGTGAACGAAAACCCCATAAATTTTGAAAAGGCGACATCTAGTGTTTTAACTGTATTGCTATTAATCTATGCTTATATAAATCCATAAGATAAACAAATTAATAAACAATCCTTCTAAATAAGGATTCACATTACATTGAATTGAAAAATGTTCTTAATTTTGATTTTTTGCATAATTTTGAAATGAAAATTTGATCTTCAGATTGGGATAAAAAGATGTAGATAGATCGTATCGTGTATTAAATAGTTACAAAATACAATTTTGTTAAAGATGTTTTATATAAACAGCATTCTGTTTATAGTAACCATTGATTCCCAGAACAAAGAAATTAAGACATTAGAAAATTTAAGTTTGTGTCAAAAACTCAGTTTCTTTATGGCGATCTAGCTTTACCTATATTTTTTACACACATACCATGCATTACCAGGAAAACATCATAAAAAATGTTTATTCTTGGTTCTTGTAAATTCATATAAATCCCTCATACTATAGTTGCATTGGTATAAATAATTTAAAATTACAAGAAACGTCTAGTCTATTGATTACGATTGATCAAAAAAGAATAATGTTATCTTAAATTTGTCTCAAAGGACAAAAAAATATTAAGAAGAAGTTAGCATTGCGTGCAACACTCCCATTTTTTCATCTTCTATATATTTGGTTTACAATGATAAATTATTTTTTACGATTGTATTTAAAGGTGAGCTGAGCATGATTTAAATGATTAAGGTTTTTTCTGTTAAACTGTTAATAGTCCTGAAACTGTTAAATGTTTAACAGTTCATCAATCTTTAAATCTTTAAATCTTTAGATTCTGAAATATGGATTTATAGAAGACCTTATATTTGTATACAGTGAGAACCAGAGGACTGTGGAATAGAAAGACGACATTAAAGTCTGATTCTGTTTACACTGCACAATTGCTGTGTCACCTGTTCATTAAGTCATAAATTGAGTCCCAAAGTTGTCTTTCCATTCCAGATTTTTATGGTTATCAATATTAATAAATAAATATTGCAGATATCATTCTATATTTTAATAAATAGATTTGAAGAACTCGGATGGAATATTTGTTTAAAAGTAAATATTTTGTAAAACACGTGCAGTGCAGAGCTGGGAACTTTTGTATTGTGGATTTCGAGATCGATGCTTGATCTAGATCTTTTGTTAATTTTACAGATTAATTTACTCTGTATTCGATATCCTGCGCAGAGTGTCGTCTGTTGAAAACATAACACCAATCAGAAGCCAGAGAATTTTGCGTTCAACTAATGAAAGAAAACAGAAATTGTGGATATCTAAAATCAAGAGATCAAACAGCTTCTGCGTTTAATTCAAAAGTGTTTACTGTGGATATCGAGATTAATTATTTAAGTGATCCGACACAAAAGTTTCACCGCTCAGATGATAAAACTAATAAAATGAAACACTATTATTATTCAAAATGTAATCTGAAGTTAAAGCAGGCTTTTACAAAAGATAATCCATTCATTTCAGTTTTAATTTCTTTTCAATTATCCAACATTTTTTTTATCTTTTAATCATAAATTACAATATTTCAGAAGTATACAGTTAACAATAAGCACAAACATACTATACGGAATTTATACTGTCTGTTTCCTTATATTTATGATTTCCTACAACTGTAAAGTCGTTTCTCTCTTTGCCAAATCATTAAATAAGCCATTTAAAGACAATATTATGGACTTTAGACATAAATTAAATAAGAATTTTTTTATATTTTAAGAGTTTCAAGTCTTCAAAGTCTCATCCTTTTTGGGTAACCCTGTAGCAAAATACAAAAAATATATCTTGGAAATATAATTTAACGATACAAAAAGAATAATTATAAAGGAATAAAAAAATATAATAAAACCTACCGAGAAGGAATGAAAGAAAATGACATGAAAGTATTTATTTTTGTTAAAAATTATTCCAAGTCTTGAATAAAGTCCATCATCAAAACCTTTTCTTCTTTAAAGAAGCTTCAAGCTACTGGCAAGTTCTGCGTCTATTGAGCCATTGAGTATAAGAGATTCTTCTGGGTCGGGAATTTCCATTACGTGGATTAGTTTCAATGCACGCTAAATTCAAATTCTGACAACACTGTCCACTGAACCTTCTAAGAATAAAAGCGTATTTCAGTGGCGTTAGGTACTTACCCAAAGGCATTTTCCTAAGGGCGACTTCCCAATTGACGACTTCCCAATTGACAACTTCCCAAAGGTAAGGTTAGGCCTCTGAGGCGCCGCAGGCTATAATGGGGGCCGGGCGCAGTGGCTAGAACATACTGGAGGCCGAGCGCTGCGGCTAGAGCAGACTGGGGAAGTTGCTGCTTGGGAAATTGCACATAAGGGAAGTTGCCACTTTGGAAAATACCGTTGGGAATTTGCCTCTTAGGAAAAAGCCTTTGGGAAAGTACTTACATTTCAGTGTCTGAAAAAAAAATCATTAAATGTTACAGAATGGGTTTTAATGTTTCTGGAAAAGTGAGTACCAGAAAATATTTCAACATCTAAGCAATATTTAAATGTATTAAATGTTGTTAGAATGCAAATAGTATTGTATTTTAGTATTGTAGTATTGTAGTATTGTATTAATAAATCACTAATTTAGTAAAATGGGTCTCTTTACACTAAACACTTGTAAGTATAACTTGATGCTTAAAGTCGTCTTCCTATTTCAGAGTTTTCTGGTTATCATTGTATGATCTTCTAAATAATTTTTCTTCCAAAGATGGAACGGGAAAAATTAAAACTACAGTGATAATCAGAAAACTCCGGAATTGGAAGACGACTTTTAGAGTCAAGTTTTAACTTTAAAAAGTCTAATAAGCCTGGGAAATAGTAATTGTACAGTGTTAACACACAAATATCATTTAGTGATTTGGTAAGTGTCAAGTAAAACTATTTTCTTTGTAAGATCATCAAATACACTTAACTATTGCTAAAAAGTCATCTTCCTATTCTAGAGTTTTTTGGTCATCACTGTAGGTTGAATTTATTTATTACATTATTATGGTTTTAAAATCTTTCTAGATAAATGACACTGTTAAGAAAACAGAAGGAAAACTATACACTCTACATGATCAATATTAGATACAAAACGAAACATTAAATAAAATCTTTATTAGAATATTCTTACGTAGTGGCAGTAGGCAGTGAACATGCTGCTCCTCTGGTAAGGCACTGCTCGAAGGAGAAGAAGGACTGGGTTAAGTTGATGAGAAGTAGGATGGAGAAGATAAGAGATACAACCTTCATCTTGCAGTTGATCAGATCAGAATATACCTCTTTACACAGACTATAGTTTTCAATGTAAAGAACTAATAAAAAAATTTTATTACATAAAACTAATTTTAAATATGAGTGTGCAATAAAATTCAACATTAAATACTTTCAGATTTACAGATCATAAATCTTTTATTTTATTTTATTGATAAATGTAAAATTTTAGTTTTATTTTGCACATGCAAAACCAGCTGTGAATTGTTTCAAATACTATATTTTAAACTCATTATCATCTTCACATACTAGCTTGGGAACCCAGCGTTGCCCTGGTTACTCATAGTTACTCTCGTCTTATGTTAAAAAAAAGTCAAATTGTGGTGAAAGCACTCATAACCTCCCAAAAATACTCCAAAAAATTTAAAATGTCAGAAGCCTAGCATTTCGCAACGCAACCTTCCTCCCTTGATTAATGCATGATAATAATTTTAAGGACCATTTTAATTCTTCAAAATTCTTTAATTTGAAAAAAAATTATACACCAAAGTTCTCTGGCGGTTCATATTTATTCACCTTTTGAACGTGAAAAAAAAAGACTAAAAAGGGTAATTACCCCCCCCCCCCCTTCTTCAGATTCTTCGGGATAATTTCTCCACTTAGTACCTACTTGATTTTTCCTTTTTTCAACTTGCACAAAATAAAGCAGATGACTTCACAGGAGCCCCCATCTCCTTGCCACTCAAAAAAATTTGCTTATCCTTATATCTTTTCAGCTCTGATGTTTCAAACTATTAGATTATTTGAGTTATCATAAGGCATATTTTGAAATATCTAAGGTTTACAACTTTGGCGCAGAAAATCAGAGTTTTCAGCAAAGACTCAATTCCTTTTATTAATGAATTGTTTCCAAAACTACAGACACATTTTACCTACAGATTTGATAATTTAAAATAAAGCATTTTTTTTACCTGTATTGTTACTTTATTTACTTTAGACATGCCTATTTATGTGGAGGGGAAACAGAAATATTTTGCGTTTATAGAAACAACTAAAATAGTTTTAACCCCTCCAGAATGCTAAAAGGCATTATTATTATTAAATGAATTCCTGGCGCCAGAAAATCTTTTTTAGACTTTAACATTTTTGGTTTTTTGTGACATCATGAATAGAGTGATAATATCTATAAATTTTTATTTTTGGGAAATTTTTTTTTTTTTTTTTCCCCCCAATCATACCGAAAGAGCCAGATAGCAATGCATTTTTTTTCTGGAAACTAACACAAAATCTATGAAAACATATTTCACAAAGAGAATTTTTTAAATAGCTAAAAGGTTTCCTACTTTTACCCATTAAATAAAAGAATAAAAAAAGTTTAAAATCTAGATTTAGATTTGTTGATATTTATTTAACAAAAATAGGATTTACAAAAAAAACATTTTTTTTAAAGGAATTGAGTTTTTCCAACAAACCTGATGGTGTAAACCTTTGATATTTCAAACTAAGACTATTTGATCTTTAATTAATAGTTTGAAATATGAAAGATCTAAGAGAATGGGTTGCCAAGTTATAGGAATTAGAAAGTCAGAGTTTGTTGCAAATACTCATTTCCTTTATCAAGTTTGTGTTGCCTGTTGTATGTTACGTACATAGTTCTAACCACTACTGTATTCCATATTTCAGGACTACCATGCACGTGTCCCCCCTATCCGGAGTTCAATGACTTCCATGAAGATTCGGAAGATGCTGAAGATTTTGAGAGTTCTGAGGATGAACTGTCGGACGAGGTAATCATCATAGATCTCTCCTCTTCCGAAGATGAAGATGAAAATAACAACAATCGACAATGAAGTTGATTAGATTTAAGAAATTGTTGCCTCTATAATTATACATATATGTTAGTTGTAAGAATCGTAAAAATAGATGTATGTGTCTTTGAAAACTGATACAAACAATTGATTTGTGATTTATATTTTTGTACCTTTCCTTGCACTTGTCTTTAAAATAAATAACGTAAAAGGTTCTATTATACTAAATAAGGAGTGAAGAAATTTGAACAGGATCAAGCACTTGATTTCGAATAAAAGTTGAAATTATAATTCTTTTTATACAATTTGAAAGATTCAAATTTGATCAATTGAAAACAGTTACTGGGCTGATTTAGTCTGATAGATATTTAGTTTGCTCAGGTAATTGTTAGTTTACACTGAGAGAATATTGAGTCCTCTCACATTTTGAGATTTCTCACACTGTTAACTCCGACCTAGCTGAGGTCTCCCAAAAAAGATGTTTTTTTTTCAAACATTAAAATGTGTTATGTGTATAAAATTTCAGCAAAATCGATCGTTCTTTATTTTTGGAATGACCACTAATAGTATAGATAACTAGATGATATTCCAGGCTTCAGGCTAAATCTTGTCTGATATGCTTGAACTGTGAAACATGACGATATATATGGAGAAATAATTAAGTGTATTTGATGTTGGTAGTTGTTACAACACAAATAGCTTTAGCATTAAAATTTTCGGTATTCTGTGTACTGTATTATATATAGGACTGGGCGTTGTTCTCAGGGAGCGATCGTTCTTTTATGGGAACAAACGGAACGATACCATTGTTCAGAAAAAAAAACACAAAGAACACGATCTTAAAAATTTGGAATGATCTATAAAAGAATGAGCATGGAACGAACGGTCATGGTTGAAAAGAACAGTCTGAAATTGTTCAATCAAGAACGTGTTCTAAATCATCTAGAAATAATAGAAATGGGGGAACATTGTAGAGTTTTAATTCATCTGTATAATAGTAAACTCTGTCAGTTTGGTGGGGCTGGCCAATGACATTGTATACATCCCTCTCCCCCACTCAGTCCCTTCCCCCCCCCCACACATTCCTACCCGTTCCTTGGAATTGTTATCGATTAAGAACACAAAGAACGAAACAGAATGGGGATGAAACGATTGAAATAAGAACGAACAAGGAACGAACGATCTAGAGAAAGATCCTCGTTCTAGAATGAGGAACAAACGATTAAAAAAACAGGAACACGCCCAGTCCTATAGTTATAACATGTTTGTTGACAAGTTTCATCACTAGAAGATTAGGATGGGTAAGAACATCGTTTATTTAATGGTATACACAAATATAACAACAGTAAAAAATTTTAATTAATTTTCATTTTAAAAGTTTATTATTCTTTATAAACATTTTGATAAAAGTTAAGGATAAGATCTGCACACTCGAGGTATATCTCTGAATTCTGTATTGTTCAACATCCTACCATTAGGTCTATTTGGTGGGTTGGGGTCAACACAAACTAGGTTTAAGTTCTGACAGCACTGAGCACTCATAGGACTGAAAAAAAAACTTTGAATGCCCTATAAATATAGTATATCGTAAAAAAGTTTTTAGTTATATATCATAATCAAAATTCAATAAAAGTTACTGAAACTTATCACGATAAATGATAAAATTCTTAAAAATTATATTCTTACGTAGTAGCAGTTGGAAGCGAACATGCTGCTCCTCTGGTAAGGCATTGCTGGAAGAAAAAGAAGGATTGGGTTGAGTTGATGAGAAGAAGAACGGAGAAGATTAATGGAACAACCTTCATCTTGCTGCAGTTGATCAGATCAGAATACAACTTCAGACAGAGCTCACTGAGGTTAAGTTAACAGAACTTATAAAAGAGTTCAACATATAAACTATATTCGATTCTAATAACAGTCAGCAATAAATACTCTCAGATTTACAGGACCATAAATCATATTTTTATCATAAAGCACATGCAGATATGTACAGTTGCAAAAGATTTTTTACATACATAATAACAAACGCAAACACCCTTCCCCCTTTCCCAGCCTGTTTTGGGTGGGGCTGGAATTGTATTAACTCTTTCAAGCAGTTTTGTTGAGATCTTGAACAATGTTTTAGAGGCTTTGATATTATCTTACTGTAATCTAGAGGAACAAACTGAACACCATTTTAGTACCAAGTCCAACCGCCATGCTCATCGAGCGCTGCAACCAGGCCAGGGGGCGGCCATTACAGTTTGATTGAAAAAAGAATTCAGGTAGCAGTTAGTTTTTAAGATCTGAACATTCGTTTCTTTAACGATATTTTACGTTGTTTTTAAGTTACTGTTAGTTAACAATCTCAATTTTATCAACAATGTTACCGTAAGATATTCCACTGTTAACAGTGTTTTTGCAATTAGAAATTTAGAAATTGCACAAAGCGGAAAAATAAATGTTCGATAACAGTTGTTTGTAGTATAAACGGTGTTAATGGTTTGCCAAAACTTCAAAAGTTCATTAAAAAATCGTTAGCGGTTTATCAAATGGGATTTTTGACACAAGCCGTCACCAAATAAAAAAAATCCTTAAATTTTTACTATAAAAATACGGGGGATGAGGACGACATTTAAAAACGTCAAAATACAAAAAAAATATTTTTTTGTTTTGCAAGTTTCATGTAAAAAAGTTGCCGTTTTTTTAAAACCCAACCATTTAAAAGTTACCGGATTCTTCCTTTAATTTTCGAAAACCTCTGATTTGTTAACAGAATTTTGTCTGGCCCTAGTTTTGGGTTGAGGTCCATAAAAATCATAATTGTCCTCTGCGATACTTCCTAACCAAGCTACGTCGTTTTTGATGATAATATACGAGCATTTATTCACATCACATGGACAGATGCCAGAGCTTAAAAACAAGAAACAATTGTAAACTGAAATATGACATTAAGCCAAAACAGAATGAAGTTATATCTATTTTTGGAGATTGTTGAACTTTTGAATTGTTCTTTATTAGCTAAACACTCAGCAGTTTGTTACATCTTATATAATACACAGTATATCCAAGGAGAATTTGAGAAAAATTGATTAGTTTTTTTCAAGAGCATTTACGTTTTAGGCTGTAGATTATTAATATGATTTGGCAAATGCAAAAATTAAAAGTACAAATCTATTCCGAATATTACTTAGGAAAATTTGAAATGCATTCACTAATTTAAAATCCTCCACAATTTATGAAAACAAAGATGGGGGGGGGGTACATTTTTTTGTCTTGGTTCAAATAAGTATCTGTAAAGCTGGGCTTCCCTTCCTCTCTGATAAGTGATGAGTAACGAGGTTATAGTATAAAGAGTGATGGATGTATGCTAATCATTTATTAATTATACAGGCCATGTACTCCACTTCCAAAGGGCAATCTGTATATTACAGTACATTTCTGAAAAACATATTTAATTTCTGAAAATATTTAGTTAGAAGAATTTGTTTACCATTTGACTATTGCAATCCACTGCTCTTTTATCGTGTGCAGGATTACATTTTCACAGGAAGACGTAATATTACAGTCTTTTACAGAGCAATATTTCATGGTTAATTAACGGTTCTGAGAAAACTGAGTAAAGTTCAAGATACAAAACCTCCTCATACACTTTTACTCTGAAAGCAAACTGCATATTTGATGTTTGTACTGTATGAATAGGCCATAATCTCTTAATATCCTTGATCAGTAAACTGTCCGAAGTATACACTTGGGCTAATACAGACAGACATGTAGTTAAGATCCAGGCCCCTTAGCCTGCTCTTAAAAATTAAAATTATTTCTCTGTAAATGTGAGTCTATTTACTGCTGAATATTTTATGGCATGCGGAAATGATATGATGTAAAATAAAAATTCTTTCTCAATTAAACATTTTATTTGTTTTGTTTCTCATAAAAGCTGAAGTATCTTTTACTGAAATTGTATTCTGATCTGATGAACTGCAGGATGAAGGTTGTATCTCAAATCCTCTCCGTTCTTATCCTAATCAATTCAACACAATCCTTCTTATTCAACTTCCAGGAGTGTCGTACTGCAGGAGCTCCATGTTCTGTACCTACTGCTAATACGTAAGAATTTTATATCAAAATTCATTTATAGACAAAATATGGAGGGGGAGAGGTTACGACAACTAAGTGTGCATTTCTTTGTTGCTCTTTTTCTTCAATATTTTCTCGACATTTAAAAAAAAACTAAAACAAAACGACATTTATTTAATTTTGTGAGATTTTCAGAATAATTTTACTTCTAGGAAAAAATCACTTATTGGTGATAAGTTACTCATTTAAGAAACCTTTATTAAATCATTTGAATATTATTTATACAATAAAAATTACATACTTGATAATTTAGACCGTTCAGTGGACAGTGCTGTCAGAATCTAGATCTAAGATGTTTAATAACAGATAACAACATTGTCCCGACTACAACTGGTAGTTACAACGAATGGGTAACAGCACGGACATGCCAGTGATTTTCTAGAAGATGGAAGATATTGATTTAATTGATAATTGAAAATTAATAAATTCAAATAATAATAAGAGCAACCCTAAGTTTCTAAGGCTTTTCTGGGATATTGTCGTTTTCAGGTTGGTTGCGTTTTTGCTGAATATGATCTGTTTAAACCTACAATTTTTATACAAAATTTTATATTTATAAATTTTTGTTTAAATTTGACACATTTTTATATCAATTTCTCGAGACAGGAACATTAGATAGAACTCTCATGGGTCTCGATCAACTCCTAAAATGCTTAGGTTTCTGCCTATACCTCCTTTAACTTTTCCTTTAAAGTCACTTTAAGCCACAACAGTTGTCACATCTGACATCTACAAGTAGTAAATACCTCACTTAGAGTGAAAAACAGTTAAATTGTTAAATTGAATGTGTTGACTCAACAGAATAGGTTACACTACAAATTGGGGTAGATGTGATATACAGTAATTACGGTGTTACATACCATATTGTTCTAGTTCTGCGCAAACCTTTCAATCAGCACTTTTAGGCAGCATTGATAAGTTGGTAAAGTGGTACTTAATGGCTACAAACAGACACAACTTGGTGATGCCAACTAGGGATTAGCTAATTCAGAGATAAACATGCAAATTCTTTGGGGGGGGGGGGATGATTCGAGGGAGTCAAATGAATACGGAGAAAATGCAGGGAAATAATTAATAAACAGTTTACTATACAGTGTCAGAATCTAAAGACGGTCGTAAGTGACAATTGTCTTTGAACATGGGGATCAGGAACTAGTGTGGTGGTTTGAATGACAGTAATAGATGATTTTAAAGATAGGTTTATTCTCTTTTCTATATTTTACTCTAAACTTCCCACAATTTATCAAATCCTTCTAAACTGTCGTCTTCGCTCCATATAACTCTTGTTAATCCTTATATTTCTCTGTTTTAGTACTCTGCGACCTTTAACTATCATTATTCTCCCAATATTCCCAACTTCTTACATAACAAGTCTAAACTAAGTTTTCTGGTAAATTTTACATCTGTAATAGAATTCGTTCTTCATCTATTAATACTAACCCTCTATATCAAAGGTCGTCTTACTTATCTGAAATCTAATCTATCCCCCTTATCATGATTTTTTTTTANTCAACTCTAATCTATCCCCCTTACTTCTCTCAACTCTAATCTATCCCCCTTACTTCTCTCAACTCTAATCTATCCCCCTTACTTATCTCAACTCTAATCTATCCCCCTTACTTCTCTCAACTCTAATCTATCCCCCTTACTTATCTCAACTCTAATCTATTCCCCTTACTTATCTAAACTCTAATTTATCCCCCTTAGCCTGATTTTACTTATCCCAAATTATTCTATCAGTATCTTTAATCCCAACTACTAATTTATCATTGCTTTTGTATTAAAAACTTCTCCCAAGTTTATCTTTTCCTATTCCCAATAATTCTTGACTCTATAACCAACATGCCAAGTCTTCCTACTTCCCAATAATTAATCATTTCCAACCAAACTTTTACCTAACCATTCTTCCTCTAAAATAGATTTTATCCTTTTTCCCAATCTGCTTTGCATATTCCTAATTAGTCATTATCTTGCTTATACCTTATTCCCAATTTATCCATACTTTTTAAATCTTCCTTATTTAACTCCCAATTCATTGGATCAATTCCCAATTGTTATTAAATCAATTTCTACTACTAAGTCTAATTTTTTTTATAGTTCCCAATTCACCTAACTTATTCCCAATCAATTCCTTACATTACAGCTACTCCAAAGTCTATCATTTTATCCCAACTATTTATGGTTTTTAGACTCCCAACTTAAGTTTCCTAGATACTTTTGTTTACCTTCATTCTTACCTTAAATATTTCCTTATCCCAATCTCATGATCATTCGTTTGTAAATTAGAACTTAAACATGAAAATATTCAAGGTATTTAATTGCAAATACAATATTAGACTTGAAAAACATTGTAGTAAAAAAGTAAACGATAGTTGACATTTAAGCCACACGAAAAAAGATGATGCTTTTTAAGGTTTCACTTCACCTACACTAACACTGCTAAAACACTTTTAAATGCACCCTGTAGCTAGATAAAGAAGTTAACATGTCTGGTAAGAAGAATTCCAGTTTACACTTCAGAACATCTATTGTAGTTCAACCCCCTTTACTTATCTAGAATGTTCTTCCAGTTATGAGAATCGAACTGGTATCTTCAGATATTTGGTTTTATATTGGTATACAGTTACACAGGTTGGACAAACCAGGCTTACAGGGGATGTTTACATCTTACAATCCAAGGGTTAAAGGTGTGTAGTGCTTATATTATTTATTCTATGTTGTGCTAATTGTTTGATAAGATGAAAACTTTTGAACGATTGATTCCTAATGATGATCAACCTCAGTTACAGCTAAAAACCAGGGTTCAAGCAATCTTCATGGGTGATAATCAAGCCAGTCGGTATGTGACGTTCACACACTGAGATCAAGGATCTATTCCTTCTCTTCGAATCAAAGCTACAAGATTGGCCTCAGCTATAAATTGATAGCAGATATAAAACATACCACCAAAAAAAAACTAAACTAACGGCCACATAATATAGTGAAATTAACATATAAAAATATATATATATAGAAATATAATATATGCATAATGATAAAAATAAATCCAGTTTTTTACAGAATGTAGTCAAATTTAGTGAATATATCATTAAGGCATCCACTATAAATTGAGACTTTAGGAAAAACACTTTTAAATACTCAGGTTAAAATTTACACTGGCTGGGTGATTGGATTTTGACTTGGGACAAATTTCATGAGAAAAACTAGCTCCAAAGGCAGTCTCTGTGCATGTATAAAAATATTTTTTCCAGTATGGCCCTTAACTTTCAGGTGAAAATGGGGGTGGGACATAACACATGTTGATGAAATATGATATCCTCATGAAACTGAAGGTAGTCTTGGCGTTGTGTCTTGGAAGACCTCTTCAAGACCTCCAACAGATGTGGGTCAAATATGGAGGGAACAAGCTAAATTGGGGATTGGGGTAAGGAGTCTTATTTTTACTAGACACAAGACACTTCAAGACGCAGGGGATAACAGAGAACACGTCTGAAAAGGGGGATGGGGAGCAGGATATCCAAATATTTAAATGGTTATTTCTCACATTACAGAATATTTGATGAAATTTGACACTTTTTGGAAAATGGAAGGTCTTGGGGAGTCTTGAGGGCGCCCTACACCTTGTCCAGGATGTCCTCGTTCTGATAGGATTGTACATCTGTAGGAAATTTTTTTTTGATGAACGGGGGGGGACTTTATATCAAAAGACATATTTTTATCCTCATTATTACGTCATACCCAAAAATTCAGCATATAACTTGCTGAGGAAATTATTATTTTTGAAAGGTGGAAATATTTTTCAAGAATGGAACTGAGTTTTTGCCACAAACTCGAATGATTTAATCCCTATTTCTTTAAAACCTTTTATATTTCAAACTTACAACTCTGATATATAATCAACAAATATTCATTCTAAACCAAGTAAAGCCTAAATGGTATGAAAGATACAATGTTCTGTAATATTAGTAAAAATAATCAAAAGCTCTCGTTCACCCCTGGTTATTTCCATAAATTCTAAAAATTGTTATAGCAATGAAAATATCCCGCCAATTTTTCTATTGGTTTTGCTAATTGTTACCGGGTGTCCCAATAAACATGGAAATTAGTGATGACTTTTATATCGTCTTCGATCCATGCGGCATTTTTTCTTGAACACAATTATTGCAGTATTCCAGCTTAAAGGGACAGTAAAGGAAAAATGAAAGGGGGTATAGGCTAAAAGCTAATCACTTTAGCTTTTCATCGAGACCCTTGAGACGCCTATCTGAAGTTCCTAACTCGAGAGTTGATATAAAGCTGTTTCAAACTTGTACGAAAATGCATATATATACAATTTCGTATAGAAATAGTTGGTTTAAACAGACCATGCTCAGAAAAACAGCAACCAATCTGAAAAAGATGATATCCCAGAGAAAGCTAATTGTAATTTAGGTTTACTTTTATATTTGTTGTTTCTATTTTCAATAGATTTCATTCATAATATCATTTTTACGTCCGTATTACTTGACCAGAAATTCCACCAATGGCAGTGCAGTAAAGTGGTCACGTGATACAGGCGGAGACACGTGACCAGTATACTGTTCTGCCATTGGTGATAGTTCTGGTCACGTGATTTAAGTTTCAGATTTTCAAAATTTTACATATATGAATTTTCGTATAATTATAACACAGTTTTATATCAATTTCTCGAGACAGGAACATCAGATAAAACTTTCATGGGTTGCGATCAAGAGCTAAAGTGATTAGCTTTCAGCCTATACCCCCTTTTATTTTTCCTTTACTGTCCCTTTAAACATTTAAAATCAAAAACGGCTGGTCTTGAGATTTTCAAAATGTGGTCTATTTTTGTATCTTCAAAATTGACGGAGATATTGCGAAATTTGTATAAAGGAATTGAGTCTTTTGCTTCAAATCCCAATTTTCTAATACCTGAATCTCTACAACCAGATGATGTAAACCTTTGATATTTCAAACTTAAATTGTTTTATCCATCAGAATTCACAGTTTATAATATCTAAAGTCTAGGACATTTGGTTGTAAAGATATAGAGATTATATTATCAGAGTTTGTAACAAAAATTCAATTCCTTTCAATTTATTTATTAAATCAAAATTGTCTTAATATCAAATATCTTCGTGTTTTTAAGTTACAAGAAAGGTCTATATACAGTTTTTAAGTTACAAGAAAGGTCTATACAGTTTTTAAGTTACAAGAAAGGTCTATACAGTTTTTAAGTTACAAGAAAGGTCTATACAGTTTTTAAGTTACAAGAAAGGTCTATACCACTTTATGAAAAGCTTGTCAGACATACAGCCTCGTTTTTGTTTTACTTTCTTTGCCATGCATTAAATATAAGAAATCAAAGACGACTTTCAAGTCGTCTCTTAATTCCCATCTTTATTGGGACACCCTGTACATTTAAAGATGCAAGAAACTAGTCTTGTATGAAATGTGTTCTTTAAGAATTATGCTTTTTTAAAGAGGTTCTTCTAGGTCTCAGTCCTGTAACTTCTATTCAATCAACCTTCTCCCTGAGGTTTTTTATTGTTGCAAAAAAGTCGTCAAACCGAAAATTCGTCTTCAGATAGTGGATGAGGATAAACTACTGTAATGATGAAATTAACACTTAAACTCTCATAAAAGATTTGCTAAACTCAAATCTTCATCTTCACTTTTTTGTGTGTAAAAAGTAAAAAGACACACTTTAGGTACAGGAATATTAAACTGTTTTCTAACAACGTGCATTGGTTCCAATTGCCATTTAAAATGTTTGTAACTTTTGGATTTTTAAAAATTCAAAATGTCTTTTTTTCTTTGTTAAAACGTTAGAAAGCTTTTAAGATTTCAAAACTTACAACTAAAACTTACTCTACCGTTTTTACAAAGAAATAAAAGTTCATTGAGTTTCTTTTTATTTTTTTATTTTTCCATTTTTCCTTTTTAAAATATGGAAAATACAAAGTTTTCGATTTACTACCGTTTTTGCAAATATTTAAAAACCTCTGAACTTATTTTCTAAAAACACGACAACTCTCACAACTCTCACATTGTTAATTTATTTGAATTAAAGGTCCATTTAAATTTAACGATATCTCGGTTGGACTATTTTTGTCTAATATAGATTGGGGGTTGCCCTTAGAGTTGAGATTGGGGAGTGTGATACATGTCCCTCGTCCAACTTTACAAGGCCTGCTCATTAAAATAAAATAGACCTCTAACCTTAATGGTTAGGGTGTAAGGAAGGATTTTTAAAAAGTTCAAAAAGTATGTAAAACAAGCTTTCAAAATTAGTTATTTTTACTTATAACAAATAATTAATTAATAAAAAAAGTTATTAAATATTTCTGATTTGCCCCAACGAGCACGAAGCGTTTTCGTCGAACTTGATGGGGACGCTCGTTGTGGGTGACTCCTACACCCCTTGCATTATAGGCGGCGGAGGAAAATGTGTGCCCGTCTTTAGGCAACACAACACATAGTCTCTTAAGCTTGAAGTTAAGCTTATATAGTCCCTTTAACTTGAAGTTAAGCTTATATAGTCTCTTTAACTTGAAGTTAAGCTTACATAGTCTCTTTAACTTGAAGTTAAGCTTATATAGTCTCTTTAACTTGAAGTTAAGCTTATATAGTCTCTTTAACTTGAAGTTAAGCTTATATAGTCTCTGCAACTTGAAGTTAAGCTTATATAGTCTCTTTAACTTGAAGTTAAGCTTATATAGTCTCTTTAACTTTAAGTTGATCTTACATAGTCTCTTTAACTTGAAGTTAAGCTTATATAGTCTCTTTAACTTGAAGTTAAGCTTACATAGTCTCTGTAACTTGAAGTTAAGCTTATATAGTCTCTTTAACTTGAAGTTAAGCTTATATAGTCTCTTTAACTTGAAGTTAAGCTTATATAGTCTCTGCAACTTGAAGTTAAGCTTATATAGTCTCTTTAACTTGAAGTTAAGCTTATATAGTCCCTTTAACTTGAAGTTAATCTTACATAGTCTCTTAAGCTTGAAGTTGAGCTTATATAGTCCCTTTAACTTAAAGTTAAGCTTATATAGTCCCTTTAACTTAAAGTTAAGCTTATATAGTCTCTGCAACTTGAAGTTAAGCTTACATAGTCTCTTTAATTTGAAGTTGAGCTTATATAGTACCTTTAACTTAAAGTTACGCTTATATAGTCTCTTTAACTTGAAGTTAAGCTTATATAGTCTCTTTAACTTTAAGTTAATCTTACATAGTCTCTTTAACTTGATAGTCTCTTTAACTTGAAGTTAAGCTTATATAGTCAAAATAAGAAACATGACAGGTAATTAATCAAAGTGAACAAGTGTGCTAACTTAATTGTTTTCATAATTGTCTTTGCTGTGTTTTAAAATAAGAACAGATTCTTGCTGTATATAGTTAAACTAATGTATGTACGTTTTGGTGCAAAAAATCTTTGAAATTACATTGCTTAAAAACATGGTGGACTTTTTGTAAGAAATAAGAAATGACAGTTGGTAAATAGTTTTGAATGTCTTCTTCCATATACTGTATTAGATGTGAAAGACTTTTTGCAGTTCATTAAGTTTTTAAAAATCTTTTGCTCAAATATTTTTTTCTATGAAATCAATTTTACTACAGTGTGTCCAAAGAAAATCAATAAAACTGTTCAAACGTTTGATATTTCCGTCATTTTTAAAGATACTAAGAAGGTAGACCACATTTTGGAAAGCTCAATAGGCTTTAAATCTTTTTGTTATGCACTTAATGTCATTTATCAACCATCGGAAATCAAAGACGATATTCATGTCGTCACTTAATTCCCATGTTTATTGGGACACCGTGTATAGTAATACTCCCATGAAATATTTTTATTATTCTCTGTGGAATGAAACAACTTAACAAATTATGGAAGAAGACATTTGCATTGATTCTAGATGGAAAGGAAATGAGTTTTTGTCACAAATTCTAATACCTATATCTTTGCAACCCAATGTCGTACACCTTTGATATTTCAAGCTATGAATTCTGTTGGACCAAATGATATAGCTTTGAAATATCAAAGATTTACGCTATCAGGTAGCAAAGATGTAGGGATTAGAAAATTAAACTTTGAGGGAAAGACTGGACTCCTTTAAATAAATGAAAAGTTCAGTATTTAAAATAAATTTGTTCATTAAAACTCTGCAATACTTTAAAGATCTCTGTGTATTTAAGTGAATATGTAACTTTAATTCTGTTCCTCTTTAATAAAACGTTATTTTTGTGTAATGTAAAATAAAACCTTGATGCGAAAATATCTGAAAATAGTTAAAAGGTCAATAATGGCCCAAAAAACTGGGGCTACTTAAGAAAATGAAAAAAAAAAACGAAAAACTGCTAATATAACTGCTTCTCCAAATGGTCAAAATATGCCCACCTCCCCCCCCCCCATAGAATTAAAAATGCTCTCCAGTCTTTACATATTGTTCTCGTTCATAATACTTTCGCTTTTTTAAAACTCTATATTTAATTGAAGATCAACACAACACATTATTAAATACATTTTTCACATGTTTGTCTATACATGACATTCTTTTTTATTCTAAAATCCTATTCCTTCGGGATTTAACTTAAAAAGTATTGTTCTGAGGCTGCTCAAATTTTTTACTTTTTACAAAGAAATTTTGAATAGATGCCTTTAAAGAGAATTTGCACATTTTCAGTTGTTCTTGAATACACACTTACTACAATATTTTTGCCATTTCAAATTCTTCAGATTTTAGTTTTTCAAAATTTTTAGCTAAATAATTAACTTAATTTCGCAATAAATATTTAAATATTTAACAATTATTAAAGTAGTCCTGGAGAGAGGAGACGTCATTAGGAATAGGGTTGGTTTATATATTGCCAATTTAACAAAATTAACACAACAAAGAGTCAAAGATTATTATTATTAAGATTCTGGGGTGTGTACTTACGAACTATAGATTAAAATTTAAGCTGCTAAAAACTACTAAATACACTTATAAAAAGAAATTGTATTTTAAAGGGACAGTACGCCTAATTTCAAGTGACCCTCCATGCAATGCAATGCAAAATATATTAAAATTATCAGATTTATCAACGACAATATCTTCCACAATGTTGGATGTCATTTTTAGATGAAGCCGAAGGGTCACTAATAAACGTTTACAGTCCAATTAACCCTATCCCAGTTGGGCTATTTTTTATAATATAGATGGGGGGGGTGTGTTTTCCCCCCAACCCCCACTATGCCCCCCCCCCCATCATTGATTTGCGGGAGTGCGATACTTGTCCTTAGTCTAACTTTTCAAGGAGACCTCTAACTTTAACGGTTACAGGGGGCAAGGGAGGATATAAAAAAGTTCAAAAAGTACGTCGGAAAAATGTTCTAAAAATAATTATTTTTTATTTTGACAAATATTAAAATGTGACACATGTTAATACATCCATTTCAAGGCCTTTTCAAATGATATAAATATTAGCCCTGAAGCTTAATTAATAAGTTGAAAATAGATAAAAAATAAATTGAAACATCGACCCGCTGCATAACAATTTGATAACATTTGTTAACAACTATGATGTTGAAAAAGCAAAGTTCTAATGTAAGCCGATTTTAAGTTATTTAGTTATATATATATATATATATAATCTAATTTGAAATTTAAATTTTAATCAACGTGAAATGTTGCATATGTAATCATTCATAAAACCCTTTTCTATTTTAGACTGGACATTTTGCACCAACCAAAACTCCTTGATAAAAATCTTTTGTAAGAGTATCTTTGGAGTTCTCCCAGGATATTCCGTTGTAAACTTCAATTGACCTAGGATGAGAGATAGGCATCATTTTTTTCAACGAATAAAATTTTTTTTTGTGAAAAAGAGTGTCGATGGACGAATGAAATGGATCGTTCAGAGAAATAAAAAAGGGATCGTTTTTAAAAAAAACTGATTTAAAATGTTTCAAACAAACTTGAAAAAACGATCGGGTTTTTACTGAACGAACGATTTTTTTAAACAAACTATTTATAAAACGATAGTTTTTAACTGAACAAATGATTTTTTGGAAAAAAATTTAAAAAAAATCTATAGTTTTTTTAGTTAACGAACTATTCTATTGAGATAACGATTTTTTTGAACGATTAAAAAACCGAACGATGAACGAACGAAATAAAAAAAGTCGAACATGTCCATCTCTACCTAGGATCGGTGCCATACCCTCCAAACACAGTAAGTTGGTTATCATACACAAAAATCCCTGAAAATAGGGTTTCCATTATTTTCCAGGTTTTTTGAACTTATTTTGGCCTAATTAAACTTTTCCTGAGGATGGTAAGAATTATTAAATGTTAAAGCAATTGGAAATTATTAGAGGAACCTTTCTTACACAAATTAAGATTAAATCTACTAGAAGCTTCAAAGAGCTGGGTGAGGAAGGGAAGGCAACCTTTCCCGCACAGCTTCCGCATCTCATTTTACCTATTTACGGCAGTATACGTCCCATAGGGCTTCCAAACCTCCCCCAAACAGTCTACCGGGAATGATCTTCCATTTATAATCGCCATTTTATACTTAAAATGGGACTAATCTGGTTATTTAAGCACGGTAGTCCATTCATAGAATCCCTAACATTTTCATAATATTTCTATTTCTTTTTTACAATCAAAGTATGGACTGGAAAAATACAAAACTTTATAGATTTTGTTTAATATCGCGTTTCAGTTCAACCCGTTGTATAAATTTACGTTTGTGATTGGTTAGGTTTTCTGAGTCTCAACTCTGATTGGTTACGTTGATATGTTACCTCACAACTTTTTCTACCTGCAGACAAAACACATAGTATTTTTATTCAGGGGCGGATTTAACCATTATCTCGAGTGGGGGTCCATAATTGCGCGCCAAAAAAAAATTTCGGGCCCCTTCTAAAAATTGAACAAAAAGCATTGAATTCCTATTTCTTGTTAAAAAAATATATAAGTTTACAAACTCCAGTTCTCACACTTTAACTTAAATTCTAGTTCTCCTACTTTCTATCTGTAACCTCCAGTTCTCCTACTTTCTATCTGTAAACTCTAGTTTCTCCCACTTTCTATCTGTAAACTGCAGTTCTCCTATTTTCTATCTGTAAAATCTAGTTCTCCTACTTTCTATCGGTAAACTCCAGTTCTCCCAATTTCTCTCTGTAAACTCCAGTTCTCCTATTTTCTATCTGTAAAATCTAGTTCTCCTACTTTCTATCTGTAAACTCCAGTTCTCCCAATTTCCCTCTGTAAACTCCAGTTCTCCTATTTTCTCTCTGTAAAATCTAGTTCTCCTACTTTCTATCTGTAAACTCCAGTTCTCCTACTTTCTCTCTGTAAACTCCAGTTCTCCTATTTTCTCTCTGTAAAATCTAGTTCTCCTACTTTCTATCTGTAAACTCCAGTTCTTCTACTTTCTATCTGTAAACTCCAGTTCTCCTACTTTCTATCTGTAAATATTTGTTGATAAAAAAATCTAAAATTTAAAGCTATTTTCTCCCTGATCTTTGATTGTAAAAATGAGAAAAAAAATATTTTGGAAATATTAAGTATCCTTATAGATGGACTACCGTGCTGAGTCCAGTTCTAAGTAGAAATTGACGATTGTAAAGGGAGGATCATTATGGAAGAATAGGTAAAATGAGGTTCGGAAGCTATATGGAGGATGTTGCCTGGCTGGGGTGTGACTTGCTGAATATAGTTCACGGGATGATTATTTCAGATTAATTCCATATGGAATAATGTTCGCTAAACTTTTTTAAAAATGCCACACCAAGCTCTGTATATTTGTTGACCCTAAACAATGAACACTTCGTTGTAAAGTCGTCTTTGAAAGCCACAGCCAAACCAAACAATTTCAACCCTCCCCCCTTTCCTCTCTCTGACGGAGTTATAAACAAACCTCACGTGTAGTGATTCTATTTCAAAAAGTTAAACAAAAGAATAATTTCATATAAAAATTGTGATTTTCGTTGATATATAAAGAGATTTCATTATTATCGATTTTTGAGATGGTTTGTTCTGTTTGTGTATCAGCTGCAGTAATCGAGACCAATAGTGAGGGAAAATAAATACCCTTAGCTACCAACTCAGCTGCATTGTTTATTGTTCAATTTCGAGATCCAAGTTTTCCTGGGGCCAACAATATTATTTAAGGATGAGATTTATTTGAAAATCAATTAGGAAAGGTTTCGCCGGTAATTGCCAAAAGTTTATAATTGTTTATAATTCTGAACAGCTTCAGGAAAGGTTCAGCAACACCTTTACAGTGTAGTGTTTCCAGCGAAAGAAAACTTTTGCAAAATATTTGAAATTTCACAAAAATTTTCTGTTGTATTTAACAAACTCTTTTTTCTCTTGAAAATGAACTTTGCAAAAAGAAGCATAAACTATGTGGAATTTTGCATTAATCTGTTTCGCAAAAAAAGCAAAATATTTGAAAAACAATAAATGTGAAATTTCCCCCAAAAAATATTCGCATTTCTTTTTCGCGGAACAGATTAATGAGTAATTAATGCTACCTGGAAATTCTCGCTCATTATTCATCTTGCTGATTATTCTCCATACATTTGTTTTGAGGTCAAAAACCTCCACATCAGAAAGACGGCTAAATACCATTACAATTTTAATGTTCTTTTAGAAGTAGGGTTTCCAACGCCAGTGGATTGTACTTGCTCGCAATTGCGCATGCCATGTAATTTCCGTGCAATTTCGCACAATTCCGCGCAAAATGAGAACATTTGAGTGCTATTCTGCACTGTAGTGCGCGGAATTCTCATTGGAAACCCTATTTAAAAGTAAAAAATAACCCTGCCATATTTATTTACCTTCCTGCATTGTATCCACCCGCTACATAAACTTCTTCGTTGTACATAATACATCCAGGCCCAGATCTTAACAATTTAAAGTTAGTATTTACAAATCAAGTCGAAGTCAGTTTCGAAAATAAATCTATAAATATGCCACATGAAGCGCTAGGAATAAAATTACATTTGTACTGTTTAACTGTGTTCCTGTCCGGTCTGACTTGGCGTAGAACCGATCCAGCCCAGCCAGGCCCGACCCGTCTCAGCCAGAAATGTTTCCAACTTTGAGATGAAACTTTAACCCATTATTAGTGGACTTAATGCTTAATTCTCAATAGAGAGTGGGATGAGATTGATTTTTCAAAATTTTATGTTCTTTCTATGCGTATAATTAGTTTTGTTATATATGTTGAACTCGAGTAGGTGAATACAAAATCTAAACACTGTAATGGTTTTTTGAAAATATCTTTTAAATGAAGATAGATATATTTGTTAACCCTAAACATTGAGTTCTCTGTTGTAAAGTAGTCTTTGACTTAGATTTTCTCTTGGAGCCAGACCAAACCAAACTTAACCTCTCAGATAGTATGAACAACTTCATGTGCAGTGATACAGTTCAAAAAGTTAAACAAAAGAATAATATTTATAAAAAATAGTGATTTACATTTAAAATCAATTGCCATTTTATTTCAAAGGTTAAAACCGTCATTTAAGTACTGTTTAAATCCAATTTGCCCCTGTCTTCCTGATAATAGATCGTAAGCATTTTTTTTCATTATAAACATTAATTTCACAATATGTAACCATATTAATTAAATGTATTTTTTCAGGAAATAAAGAGATTTTCATTATTATCGATTTGGGGTGACGGTTTATGTGTTGAATGTTCCGAAGCTGCAGTTAATCGGGATCATTAGTTTGGGGAAAAAATACCCCTCGAGTTCCATCCCTGGTAGATTACTGTCCAGTTTCTTATTATCCTTTTTTCCAAGCATCTCCTTTCCTTTGAGTTCTACAATATTACTTTGGGTGGGGTAAGATAATTTTTAGTAAACAGGCAGCCCAACCTTTTAGAATCTTAACTCCAATCATAAAATGCAGTCATTAAATCAGCGAACTGGATCTAAAAATTGTAATTTTTTCATGTGGTGTACTTATAGATGTATTTTCGAAACTGAGGAGCAATAAAGAAAGCTTTAACAATATTGTACACCATAGGGCCTTTAACTGAGATCAATATGCTTATTTCTAAGAAATAAACAATTTAATTTTAGGCTTTTTTTGTCTGATTACGAATTGAGGTGGTGGAGCTTCATGGCAATATGGATGGCCATCAGCCAGGAATATATTCTTAATTTTTTGAAAATAAACAACAGCAATTTTGTCACCAATAATCTTGCACAGATACATACCTTCTATACGACAAGTTTGGAGCTGCTGTTAAAACGCCTTCTATATCATATTTTTCCACGTTAAGAAGCCAAGTACCTCCCTGTTTTCCTCCTGCCAGTATCATCTCAGTTTCACTAAATACATATTTATCTCTTTGCCGATTGGGTCTAAATTTTGTGTGGGACTTCACAGGACCCAAAGAAAGGTTTATACTTTTTAAGTGCTCAGAATTACAAAAGTTGTCTAAACAAATTTTTGACTTTCGTAAAATTCTGAAAATTCACGAAAATAAATTTGTAAGTCCGCAAAACTTGTTATTATTGTTTCATCAAAGGAAATGCTGAAAGATTAAGCAAAGTTCAAAATTTGAAATAGAAATAGGCTAGCAACTTTAAAAAACTGTATTCAGAGCAGTTTGTGCAAACAGTTACAACATCTTTTGAATGGTCAAAACTAAAGCTATTATGACAAATTTCCAGAAAATTATTAATCTTCTTGAAAATTGGTTTCTCCTGTTATATCATTGTTAACCCTATTCCTGCTGGGGGGGGTCAATTTGACCCCCCCCTGTAGTTTTTTTTACATAACTCAAAAAGTATTGGTCTGAGGCTGTTGAAATTTTCTGACTTTTCCTACATACCCAA